AAGACTATAAATAGTCTCTTGCTTGAGTTTTTAAGGCATTGACTATTCCATTGGCCAAAAAAAAAATCATTTTTAGAGAGAGAAGTTCATGGTTTCTAGAGAGAGAAAACACTAGTGTGAATCAATCTTTGTAATCAAATATTCAAGCTTTCTTCTAGATTGTTGCTACTACTTTGATGATTGGGTAATCTTTCATCTTTATAATATCAATCTTTACTTTTATTTCTCTAGTTTTTGATCTTCTTTGCTTTATTGTTCTTACTTGAGTTTACCTTCATAAATATTCAAGCTTTATTAGTTTCTTTGATTTCCTTTCAAGTTAGAATCATGTTAGGTTGTGTTGATATTGAATACTTGCTTATGTTAGTTGTTATGGAAATTCCCTTCCTTCTAGCTTAGGTTTTTAGCTAGGGAAGGGGGCGAAAATCATGTGTATTTGAATATCTATTGATTATTGATTGGGACTTATTCTTGAGTTGATGATTTGAGCTATAATATGCTTGGAGTTAGTGTGTGCACCTCTAATCCCAAGAGTCTAGCCCTTGATTGAATGCATGAGAATGATTTAATCTAGGTGTGAATGATTTCATCGACTTTCTTGAGTAGTTGAATGAGAATGAACTATCTTAGGTAGAGTTTATACTCCTAGAATCGGTTTCCTTTCGGTTTTCATTAGTGCTCCTTGTTCATGATTTAATCCCCCTCTCCCTAGTGCTTTTGTCATTGTTATCTCTCTAATCTTGTCCATTTATTTGCTTCTAAGAGTGTTTAATCTATTTTCCTTGTTTTTAGTTTAGTCTAGGCTCAAATAGTAGTTGGTTTGTCCTAAGGATTCTTCAAACACAAATTCAAATACCCCTTTTTGTTACTAGCAATTTCTCCTCGATTTCGTATTAATTGTGCTAAACCCCCGTTTCCTTGGGAATCGACCCTACCTTACCGCTATCTAAAACAAAATTGATAGAGTTAGGATAGGAGTTATAAATTGTAATTTTGATCTACGATAGTAAACTAACGACCTATTGTCCACCGATCAATCACCTCAATTAATTATTAGAGCGCGGCTCCAATACCGGTGTTGGGTTTTGTAGTGTTCGACACTACGCGGAAGAGAAACCCGCCCAAGACCCGCCCACTAATTAAAGCAACTAAACATGCAATCACATAATTAAACAACAAAAGAGAGAGAAAGAGAAATGACATTCTTACCCTCGACGCGTGCTTTGCTCGCTTATGAGCTCTTACTTCAAAGCTCTAGCATCGCAAGTGCGAAGGCCTCCGACGGCTCACACCCTTGACCCCGAGCAGTCTTTATCCCGAAGGTTAGTCGGGACTTCACCAAATAAAAAGTACAGTATTATAAACTTAAAGGTTTTCTCACTTTCAAGGAGATGCCTTATTGAGTTCAACTCAAGTGATTTTTCCCAAACCCAAAAGTTAGGTATTTATAGGGAAGGGAGACTTGATCTCCCTTCTCCCATCAATGTGGGAGAATTGCATTTTTCTTCAATTTATTTTAATTAAAAACAAATTAAAATGCAAAGCAATCAACAAGCTCCAAGAGGCATTAGGAGAGCATGGGTAGGTGAGGACCACTAAGGGGGGAGGGGACCAAAACTCCTTTCTCCCCAAGCCAAACACCAAGACCAGTCCCCACAATTGACCGGTGCTGACCACGCCGTCCACGCCACATGGCTGGCTGCCTGCCTGCCTTGGCTACCAAGGTTGCCCAGCTGGCGCCTAGCACCAAGGCTGGGCTGCTCAGCCAGCTCGCACACGCATGCGTGCAGCAAGCAGGCCACGCATGCAATGCGAGCTGCTGCTGCAAAAGGTGTGGCCTAGCTGTTGCTTGGTGCTGCTACGCTAGCAAGCACGCACAGCTACACACACGCACACACAGCACGCTGCTAGCGATGCATGTGATGTGCGAGTGCGATGCTACTGCGATGCTGCGAGGGGCTGGGCGCTAGGCCTAGCATGCTTGTAAGCACGCATAGCCATATCACGCATACGCATAGCACCATGCTTGCGATGCTTACATGCTAAGCGCAGTCTAGCTGCGGCTATGCGTGTGGCTGGGTGCGATGCCCACCACGCTAGCATGCATGCGGTTGGTGCCCTCGCCTAGCCTTGCACTCGCATGGCTAGGCCAATGCGAGGCTACGACTAGGCTCATACTTGTCACTTACTTGATTCTACGTCTCGTCGAGTTCTAAATTCGACTTGACTTGCGACGCTCGGTGCTCGATATCCGACGTCTTTGTTCGTAATACTCTAATGACTCATCTAATCCTTCGGATTGATTCGTCGTCTCGAATCGGTTATTCGATTGGGGTGCGACCCGAAGGGTTCAGTCAAGATTAAGCTGTAATATTAATTACCCATTAATATTACTGATCGGAAGCAGCCTTCACCTAGGCATTCCGATGACTTGACCTCGTTAAAGAATTAGCTTTCTAATAATTCTGAACCCTCTATTGGAATATACACTTGTTGGAAGGACACCATTCCTTTCAATAACCATCTTTTGGTTAAGCATATGTGTGGGGACTCAACTATAATTTGGTTATGTGTATCAACAAAGGTATTTTAGGTTTTCTGTTTATGTTTTCTATAAAAAAAAAATAAAAAATAAAAAATAAAAAATCTTTTGAACCTCAAAGGTAGTCAGACATGTAATGATAGCTATGGTCAGATTAGTTCTGTTTTAATAATTGATATTTAATTAAAAGAGCATTTTGAATTACAGCATGAATGATATTCTAGCACATTCGGGTCAAGAGTATGTTTTAGAGGTTTATGTACACATTGAACCATTCATGAATGACATCCTTAATCCATCAAAGAGAATGTGATTTAATCATATGAAATGAAATTTCGTTTTTACCTCAACAATGTTAAAATTGGGGCAAATCAAACAGTCCATTTCAAAATTAGAAAAGTCCCCTCATCATTTAGATTTATTAACAAAATATGATCCCTCAAATTGAATTATTGAGATCTCAGGGACTCCATATTGCCAAAATAGAACACAAATAAGAGACTCACTTATCATGTTCAGGACATGGTCCCTCGAACACTTATCATCGAGACTACATTCATTTATTTAGTATTGTCATCATCCATCAACCACCAGAAACCCAACATACACCATATTAAAAGGGCTCACTAATAACAAATAACGACATCAACAACATCAACAACAAACATAGTTACCAAATCAAAGATGCCAACAAATTCAACAATTCCATCAACAAGAAAATTTACACATCCCCTAGCTAGAAACATATGTTACAAGCAATCAATTAGGCACACACAATCCTTCATCTCAATGCAAATAACAAATTATCATATAACCAAAGACTCAATTTCACAATGCCCCAACAATTAACAATTACGATCAAAACTAATCAATAAAAATAAGGGTTTAGAAATTATTTTGCTATATATTTAATCAGTTGGGAGGAATTTTGGGTGATATTCCCTTACGAAACTCAAGTCACATAATTGAACTCTTCCTCGACAACAGAGTTATCAGATATGACTCTTTTATTTCTAAATTTATGCTCAATGTTAGGAAACCTTATAGGAAATAAAGACCATTGGGACTCTATCTCTTCCACTACTGGAGGAGGCTTGGGTTTCCCCTCATTCATAGTAGGGGGAGGCCCGGTTTTCCCCTTAGTCGTAACTGGAGGAGGATCATTTTTCCCCTCATCATCTACATTAATAACTTTTGCCCCCTTCCCTCACAACTTTCTTAGAGTTTGGCAAGGTAACATCATTTCTAGTATTTTTTCCCCCTTAAACTGCTCGTGGGTATCTTCTCTTCCGAAACCCTCCCTTTTTTCTTCTCTTCTTCTTCATCATCAATAGATTTGAGAACTTTACCGAGAGTGGTGAGGGAATTTTCACTCAGAACGTCACCCCCTTTGCCAGAAGTGAAGAAAGTTCTAAGCCACGAAGACCCTTGATCAAATGCATCGTTTAACTCGTCTACAAGATGGATTTCAGTTGCATTCTTACTTGCGTAAATAGCGTGGGCAAGAGTAAAGATGGTACTGGTTCGGGCCGGCCTGAAGCCCGGTACGACCTAGCACAAAAAAGCACACCACGACACAGACACGAAAAAAGCACGGCACGATACGGTAATGTGTGTGTGGGCTGTGGCCGCCTTTAATTAGGCGAAGCACAAAAAGGCAAGGCACGACACGACCGGGCCCGACACGACAAAGCATGCTAAATCAATTCAATTTTGTTTAGGCACGCAAGTCCGACATTGCCCGACACAATGGCACATGGGCCTGGGCCGTGCACGGGCCAACCTTTTGAAAACTTCGGCCCGGCCCGGCACGACACGAAACTCGTGGGCCGAGCCATGGCCGGGTCTAACTAACCCTAAAGCACGTGAGCCTGGCATGAGGCACGACCCGGCATGGCCAAGAGCCATCTTTAGGTAAGAGGCTCAAGATCTATCAATTTTGTAGGACTCAAAATATGGACTAGTTCTAGGGAATTTTTGTGAAACAAAGAAAGAGAGAAACAAGGAGAGATAGAGAGAGAGAGAGAGAGAGAGAGAGAGAGAGAGAGAGAGAGAGAGAGAGAGAGAGAGAGAGAGAGAGAGAGAGAGAGAGAGAGAGAGAGAGAGAGAGAGAGAGAGAGAGAGAGAGAGAGAGAGAGAAGATGAATCGAGTGGGAAGTAAGGGATGCTCAAAAGGAGATATGCTCGTATTAAGAGAGATAAAACAAGGAAGATGAAGAACAGGAAGAGTTAGGGTTTAATTTTGGAAATATGCGTTGAAGGTTGGATGAATTTAATGAGTTAGTTGGATAATGAATTTAATTTAATTTATTATGTGTAGTGTTTAAAATCTAATTGGGGTTATGAAATTTTAAGTAAGGGTATTTATATAATTTCCCTTAAAAAATTTATTACATTAAAAATAGCAAAATTTGATAAGTTGCAAAACTGTGTAGCGGATATTTGAAAAAAGTTGCAAAATATATAAAATGAAGGTAGTACTATTTTTCCTAAAATACCGCACACGGAGAATTTGAGCAAATAATAAAAAAATGAATAGAGTAAATAAAAAGTGGGATTATAAAGATTTCCTATCGATTTTCTTAAAAAACATAATCATAGTCGTAAATCATTCAACAAATTCGCAAGTCAAACTATATATATTTATGTTGACTCCTACGTATATATTTCTCTGTCCTCATTCCTCAACACCCAAAAAACAAACAATTACGGAGTATAAAACAAATCTATCTCCGCCTCCTCACCAATCACAATCACAATCACAATCACCTCCCCTCAGGCCCCATTCCTCCACCACTTCCAATTCCCCTTAAATTACTTCTCCAAGCCGTCGCATATCCGCCTGAATTTCTCCGCTGCTTTAATTCCTCCGACGCCTAAATCATCCCTCCTTCATCGAGATCTCCGTCGCCAGATCTCCGCAATCGGCACCGCTCCATGATTGGCTCTTAAAATCTTCCAAAAAGGGAAAATCTTGATGGTGCGAAATAGAGAAGAAAGGGAGGATTTAGAGAAGTTTTCATCACCAGTGATTGATAATAACAGTAATAAGGATTCCCAACATTATTATCATCAATCTAATTCAAATATGAAAGATACATCATTCAAAATCATGAGGCTTGTACTATGTTTAGTGGTATTTGTTACGGGTATAGTTATAGGATTAATTTCAGGCTCTCATATTGATGTTGTTGATGACTGGTATATAAATTCTCGGCACAGCCGCCTCGCTGTCGCTGCCGCGCCACAGAATAACATTAGTAGTAGTAGTAGTGTTAGTAGTAGTAACTGCACAATTGTTGACAAACAGCCGAAAATTGATTGTTCGAGTTTGGAGAATTTGGTGCATCCTAAAGAGTTGATTCATGGTTTAAGTGATCGGGAATTGTTTTGGAGGTCATCAATGGTGCCTCGAATTCAAGGGTACCCTTTTAAAAGAGTACCTAAAGTGGCGTTCATGTTCTTGACAAGGGGTCCTTTGCCATTGTTGCCTTTGTGGGAGAGGTTTTTTGAAGGGCATGAAGATTTTTTTTCTATTTACGTTCATACTTTGCCTGGGTTTATACTTAATGTTTCGCCCTATTCCGTCTTCTTCGGCCGCCAAATTCCTAGTCAGGTACGTTGATTCTTTGTGATTTCTTGCTTACATACGATTTTAATATATGTTTGTATTATTTGAAGTCTGGTTTTATTTTCTAATTATATTTAAATAATGTAGCCCTGTTGAGTTTATTGGGTATACTTGATACTGGTGAATTTTATACAAATTGGTCTTAGGTTTGATGGTATAGACACTAGTGAATTTGTTCGAGTTCAGTGTCCCGATTTGAGTTTTTGTCATAATCTATAATTCTTTGAGAGTTACAATCCTAGGGATAGGGACGTAGTGATTGGTTTACTGATGGATTTTCTTGCCATCTAATTGTATAGAAAAATACAAAAATTCCGTGATGTGATGCTTAATTGAAAAGACACCAGTGAATTTGATTAGTGCTAGAATTGAATTTTACGCGTGGTTCTAGAGTGTTTGTGCTGGCTTAATCAACCACCGTCTGAGGATACAATCCTACTATTGGAGAGTTAGAGACGTATTGTTTTGGTGTTCATTTTTTTGTGAACCTTTGGCACTAACTCTGATGGATCATTGCACCATGAATGACACTTGGTTTGCACTTAGTAGTATGTTCTCCTAATCGCGGTTTATGAGATTGTAATAAGTGCAATAAAAATATTTGAATTTTGAAGATGCCTCTGTTTACCAGCTATGCCACCTACTGGTAAAGTCATGGTTCCTGTGGATAGCAAATATAAGCATCAATTGACATAGTTCAAGATATTCTAATCATGAAAGTTGTTGAAAGTAGGTGAATTTATAGTATCCGTTGTCTGTTCTTATGTAACTATTCTTCCGTGAGTGGATTGGTTTATGGAGTTTTGATTATTAATTTCTGAATTTGGTTATTATTTAACAAATGTGCTTAATATGATGATTTTTTGTTTTAGATATCTGTAAACATTAGTGACCCTGACATGTCTAGAACAGAAAACAAGTTTTCCTGAAGTTTAATTGTAATTGATGTGTCTATTAAAATAAATGAAAACTAGACCTATATCTACTACTCGTTCCATCCCTTAATGTTTTTCCTAATTTCCATTTTAGTCCATCAAAGTTTGCACCACTCGACTTTTGTTAGTAACAAACCACAACTTTACTCAAAACGCCCACTACATTTGGCCCATCACTTTCCTCTTCCATCAATTCCTTCCAACCAAAAATTAAAAAGTTACTTTACTCCCAATTGGGCATACAAAAGGGAATAGAGGGAGTTCTTGATATTTAGTACATTTTCCCTTCAACTAGCTTCTAGTATCTATATGCCAATATCCTGGCCTTTACAATTTTTATTTATTTTTTTTATTTTATTTTTTTTGGGGGGTGGGGAGGTGTCACAATGTGTGTAACTGGTGAAGTGGTAATAGCTACCTTATGCAATCCATCCTTTCTGTCAACAGGTTCATTAGTGAGGTAACACTAGAAAAATAATTTGATCATGCAGTTACATCTAGCTGTGTAAAATATTCTATACAGGGATTAGTCTTCGATCCTTGTGGTAGGATGATTACCCATGTGTTCTCATCATTTGCCTGTTAGTCTGTTCAAGAGTTTCTCTTTGTTTGATATAGTTCTTATTTCTCACAGTGCTGATGAAGTTTGAAAGGGTTATGTAGGTAGTTGGGGAGAAATTTGTGTAGGCACTAGCATGGTGTTGGGTCGTTGGGAACGTGACGTCTTGTGATCTCCTGTTAAATATAAGTATTTCTTTTTCTTCACATGATTATCTTGGTCAAACAATAATATGTGGCTGCACGAAGATTTGATTTCCAGCTGTGGTTATTCTTCACCTTTTTTACCTACTTCATCCCTGCCCAATTTTCATCCAATGGTCCATTAATCAGCCTATAATTTAGTTGATTGGCTATTTGGCTGTTGCCTGTTTGCCATGCTAATAAATTCTAATCACTTTTACGACTGTTACCACCTTGTACGCATGAGGCTTGAATATCAATCTAGTAATCATCAGTCATGCTAGTGTAGTTGAGTTGTTTGCAGTGTCTTAGAAACTTGGTACTATTTCCCACTCGATGTTCTAGACAAATTCTTTGACTTGTTTAAAACAATAAATGGTTCAATACATGTATTTTGTAAACCCTTAATTGTGGAGGAAGCACTTTATGGGTGTATGTAACATCTTTGTCAGTGATTGGATTGTTTAGTATCTCCTCCAAAATTTGAGGTTCCATATGCCCCTTATCTAAGATAGATACAAATACAGCTTTGATCTCAGTTATTCATCCTCCATCTGGTTCCCATCTTTCCCTTTCTAGTGTTCATTGATCTGTAATCTGTGAGTCAATTAGAAGAACAATCAACTGAATATTCTTGTGGATGCTTATATTGGGCTAAGATTTTGCTGACCAGTTAAAATAGAGCCACTGTGAAACCCTTAGCTACTCTGCTTTAGTGCTTTTATATACAAGTATTTCTCTTGTCTGTCTGTGATAAGTTCTAATGTTTGTTCGTATATTTTTTTATTAATCTGCTATTTGAAAGCACAAGATTCAATCTTAATGTTGATGCTTGCAGAAAGTTTCCTGGGGTGATATATCTCTGGCAGATGCTGAGAAGAGGCTTTTAGCCAATGCTCTCCTTGACTTTTCAAATGAACGATTTGTGCTTATTTCTGAGAGCTGCATCCCAGTCTACAATTTCCAAACAGTGTACAAATACCTTATAGAATCTGTTCACAGTTTTGTGGAGTCCTATGATGATCCCTCACGTTATGGTCGTGGTCGTTACAGCCGGAGAATGGGACCCAATATTAGGCTCCATCAATGGAGAAAAGGATCTCAGTGGTTTGAAGTCAAGCGAGCTTTGGCTATTGAAATTATATCTGATTACAGGTACTATGATCTTTTCAGAAGATACTGCCATCCATCTTGCTACCCTGATGAACACTATATTCCTACTTACCTCAACATATTCCATCCATACCTCAACGCTAATCGTACTGTGACGTGGGTGGATTGGTCTTTGGGAGGGCCTCATCCGGCGAGTTTTGGTAGAGAAAATATTACAGAAGGTTTCATACAGAATATCAGAAATAATGGGACAGAATGTTGGTATAATTCTCTGAGAACACCTATTTGTTACCTGTTTGCTCGAAAGTTTCGTCCAAGCGCTCTGGAGCCCTTGCTAAACATAAGCTCTAAGGTTATGGGATTTTGACATTTTTCATTGACTCAACTGGAATGGAGCCTCATCCAAAGAGTTTTGGTCTGGATGCTGGTTGGATCAGATTACTTTAGTAAGTGCTGGTCAGCTCTTTCCTTTTTCTCTTTTTTCTTTTGTACAGAAAATTTTGATTGATTTAGGTACGCATTGGAAAGAAAACAATCACGGGAATCTCTATAGTTCTACTCCAGTAATTTATTTGCATAAAATTTAAAGAAGTAAATTGGCCATATCCCTTCACTTAAAGTAATACAAGTATTTAATTATTTTTGTATTTAATCAAATCAAATAGATTAAACTGGATAAAAATTGTGCTACCTAATTTTGCACTATCGCTTTGGGTGCCTTACTATTGGTGGAAATGTTGGTTAACTGTCTGATCAGAAGATTTTTAACAGTCAAAATCAAGGAAAGCCAAATGCAAGCTTCCCTGCATGTGGCTCGGCCAACTGGCCAAGCACCACCAACTTTGGTATGGTGTATTAAAAGTAGGTTTTTTTTTTTTTTTTTTTATTTATTTATTTATTTATTTTTTTTTTTTAATGGTAAGGAGAAGAACCCTTGGTCTAGTATTTACTGGTCAAGACACTTTGAAAGAGTTAGGGATCCCCCAACCTCAAAGTGACTCTAGTAGAGATTGATCCTTAATATGAAGAAGGTGCTAATTTTTCCACTAGATCAAGTTTAGCTTGGTATTTAAAGTAGTTATTCGTTTGGCAATATCTGTTGTTGCTCTCTCTTCTCTTGTTTTCTATATTATACTCGTGTCATTGATTTTCATAAGTCGTACCCAATGTTTTAAAAATTACGGGTACCTCTCAACTAGCACCTTAAGGTTATTCTATCATACCGCTTATAAACTCGTTGCAAAAGAAACTCCACCACTCAGCAGTTGCTACCAGGTGGTTTTATTTATGAATTCCATCCAAATGAAAACCCACTTCTTAGAATAGCATTTTCTTTTATTATTTATTTATTTATTTATTTTTGAAGAAAGTTAGAGTAGCATTTTTTATCCATACATATATTCAATTTCCAGCCCCATAAAAGCAAAAATTTATTGTAAAAATGACAACAATACACAATTGCAATGGGAGTGGGAGCAATGGATGAATTGAAAAGAGAGAAAGGAGGAGGGGTTTTGTGGAGTTAGAGCTGAGTGGAGGAGTTGACTTAGAGAATATTGGTGGTCGTGGAGGTGGATTTAGGGAAGAGAGAGGAAAGAGGAAGGCAGGTGGTGGTGGGAATGGACAGGGGATGTTATAGTTCGATTTTGTTAACGTCCATTTGTATAAAACATTGGAAAGGAACATTGCAAAGGGTACGATGTGTTAAATTATTGCACTTGAGAAGTACAATGCGTAACCTTAAAAACATCAAACTTCTAATGTATGGTAATCAAATTCCATAAACAACTTCATAGGAATTTTTTAAAATTATTTGGTTAGTATGAGGGAAGTAAATTTTGTAGGAATTTCAACTCACTTAGGGGGGACTGTGTAAGTAAATTCCTACAGTTTGTGGGAATTGAAATTTCCTAGGACGTTCTACTTCCCACATTTCACCAAATTTTATTCAACTAAATAACTAAATAACTCACTTAGGGGGGACTTGTTTTGATTATTGAGATATGAGAGTTTTTCTCCTTATTGAGTTCTTTGTGATCTTTCCTTTGTGGTAAAACATCAATCTTTATCAAACTTTGTGATTGATTAGATTAAAATCCATATCTCATTATACTTTGTGACTAGTGAATTATAGCTATTTGTGATGTGGATTTAACCCCTTGTTTAATCAAGTTTTTAGAAAACCCACAATCTTGAAATAAAGATTCAACCTTGAAAGATTTCTTTAAGATAGAATATAAACGAACCGATATTTCTCCTCACAATATCACTCATGAAACTTATGATTCGAATCCCCAAATTAATTAACCCACTCCTGGACGCTAATTATTTTGAGATTAAACTCTTAGCCTACTCCTACACACTAAATGTTTAATGTTCTAATCTTCAACAACTCCTTGAATTGAAACTAGCAAAGAAAAGTTTAGACAAAGTTAAACCAAAAACAATTTTATTAATCTCAATTTTTCATGTATGTTAAAGCCATGAAATTACCTCCTACTTATAGGCATAAGAGGCATCTAATCCTACTCCTACAAGGATTAGGACAAACCCCTAACCTTGTATTTCAAGCATCCTAATTAGAATATAATTACTATTTCTAATTAGAATAGGAAAGCTAACTCTAAACAAACTCTAATTAACTAACAACTTTCCTAACAACCTTAGGAAGCTTATAGCAACTAAATAACAGAAAATAAAGCTTATGCTAAGTATTTAAACCAAGAAAAACCCTTTCAAGTGAAAGGTAAAAACTTGCAAGCAAAATTCTAGAAGAAACTAAGAAAAACAATAAATCATCCTTTTCTTCCCGGAGCCGTCATGACCCACACGCGCCGAACTAGCTCTCACGCGCTGGCCCATGTCATAGCTGGGTTCAAGGTGGTTGCAGGGAGGTGGCGTGTGGCCGTTGAAGTGGCACGTGGCCTTCGCAATCGCCGCCGAAAGCAGAATGTGTCATTTCTTCTTCTTTAAAAATCAAACTCCTTTCTTTCCCAATTAAGCTATTAAACCTTTCCTTGCTTCTTTCCTTGTTTGCGCAACCTATATTGGAGTTATCAAGGCCTTTTAAAAGTGTATTAGATCCTAAGAATTAGCTTCGGTTGTTCGGAGTTTCGCCTCCGACGATCAAGTTAGTGCGTGTACAGAGAGTAAAATACAGAAAGTAAGTAAATTTTCTCGGATCCTGAGATCGGGTGTTTTCTCTAATGTGAGAGAATTGATTGTGATGTAATAAATGAGCGTTGTCCCCAAAATGGGGTTAATGTCCCTATTTTTAGGGCATTGGGAATAGTGCCCTTACATAGGTCACTTGACCTAGATTTGGTGGGTTGCTCGCTTTTGTTGTTTCTCGGGAAATGGGACTTGAAAGCCGTCATTCCCTTTGATTATTTGTATGCCACGTGTCAAGTCCAGGTAGGTCCATTTGGATTCCTCCTAGGGTGACACGTGTCACACTCTCATTGGTCCACGTGGTTGGGGGTAAAAATCTCCAAATCATTTGCCCCTCACATGGGTCACGTGGCGCGCCTCGTGGCGCCTGTGACAAGCATCATGCATGCACGGGTGAACAATATTTTTACTATTTACCTTCTGGAGTAAATTTCAGAATTGCTCCTGAAACTTTTACCCCTCTATAAATAGTTTCACTCCCTCATTCTCGCATATTCACGAAAAATCTTTTAGAGAATCTTTGACTTTTGAGAGAATTTGATTATTGCCGCTTATGTTTGATTGGCCTGCATCGCAGCCATCCCAAGCAGTTTCAACAATACCTTTATCCAAAAAGTAACCGCCTGCTTTCCCTCTCTTTCTTGCTTTTTAATTACCGTCTGTGTTTGTTTTTTCTTGTTTTCAAAAATGGTTTCACAAACACGGCACGGCCTAGGATAGCTGTCAACCGGTCACCCGGGACGGCTGAATCTAGGACTAGTAGTGCCACCTGCCCATACTTGGATTCCCCTCTGCAAACATCCCTGAATCCGAGCGTCTCTGTGTCTGTGCAGGATACTATGGCCAGAACAAAAAGGACAGGCCAGGGCCCTATAGATGGTAAGGAGAGCGATGACACTATTAAGGTGCCAAGAAATGAAGTTTATGATTACCAACCCGGTCCTCCAAACACATCAAGTGATTTTATCCTGAATGAGTCAGATGAGAAGTCTGACAACAATGCATTCGGCTCCGAGCAAGGGTCACCTCAGTTACATGTTGCCCCAAGCGGTTCCAATGTTGGAACAGAGTCGCCTGGGCCTCATGAGGAGCCCGAGAGCTCCGATTCTGACTCTAAGCCTTCGGAGGAGGCCGCCTCTGCTGAGAGAGGGGGAGGGGAGGCTTCTTCCTCTGCCCGAGAAGAATTTACTCCCTACTTTACCCATATCTCATCAGGCACCCAGGGAAATATGTGCAAGAAGTTGAACGACTTCCGAGCCGCCCATGTCATGGGGGCCGGATATGAAATCCACGTTCCTGATTTGGATGACACGGTCGTCTGGCCGTTTGGGTCTAGATATAGAGACCAATGTGAAAGGAATGGTGTCCTTCTAACAAGTGTATTATTCCGACAAAGGGTTCGGAATTTTTAGAAAGCTAATTATTCAGTGAGGTTAAGTGATTGGAATGTCTAGCTGGAAGCCACTTCCGATCAATAATATTAATGTATAATTAATATTACAGCTTAATCTTGACTGAACCCTTTGGATCACACCCCAATTGAGTAACCGATCCGAAACGACGAATTAATCCGAAGGTTCAGATGAGTCATTAGAGTATTACGAACAAAGACGTCGGATATTGAGCTTAGAGCGTCGAAACCGAGCATCGTAAGTCGAGGTCGAATGTAGAATATTACGAGACGAGAAATGAAGCAAACGACAAGTTCAAGCTAAGTCGTAGCCTCGCATTGGCCTAGTCATGCAAGTGCTAGGCTAGCTGTAACACCCCCAAAATTCGGGTCTTTGTAAAACGATAAGAATAACCCCTTTTCTTTCAAAACCGACAATCAAACCTTGAGAGTGTTACTGCTACACTTATTTTCCATAGAAAACAAGTGCAAAGCAAAAACAAAATACCATTTTATAACTAAGTGATCTAAGTGGCGACAAGAATAAAATAAAATAGTCGTTACATCCAAACTGTAAAACACTTTAAAAACATTAATTTAAAAAGGAAATAAATAAGTTCCGAATTAAACTAATTGTCTTAGCTACGTGATTACTCTAACGTCTCCTCACACGTAACCAAGTACCCTTTTACCAACCTGCAAAATAAATCAGAAACAAGAAAAGCGAGAAAACTCCCCAAAATCAGATAAACTGAGTAATTCCAACTCCATCCCGTAAAATAATAATTTTAGTTCGAAAAATATTTTACACAACACAATTTTATCGACATTATATTAATAAGTCAAAATCAAATTGTCACATAAAATTTATTACTTTAGTTAAGAAAGGGAAAGAGAACGCCAGTAAGCTAGGACTAGTCCCTGTCACCACCTACTTTAAAGAGGGTCGCGCGTAACCCCAAATGGCCATAAATTAAACAGAATGTCCTTAGTGTGCACACCCCTCACTAATACCCATTGATTAGGAGGAAGACTAAACAACAATATACGTTAATTTAAACCAACTAGTAGCAACCATAACTACTA